CTCGGAGTCCTCGAGCGTCTCCGCCCTCCCGCGTCCCCACTGGGCCACATTCACTCACTTCTCGGAGAGTCCGGCCCAGCATAATCCTCGGGTTCAGCCCGGTACCAGATGTGCCCGGAGCGGAGGAAGAAGTCGCCGTCTGCCACTAGCGTAACATGGGCGCAGACATCTTGGAACCTCAAGGGGCACTTCAACACCGAGCGCTTGGATTGGTCGAGTTTCCGGCGGCGGAAAAGATCTCTGCAAGCGATTGGTTAGCGCTCCGGCGGCGGAGGCGCGCCGACCGGCAAGGAGACCGAGGCTGAGGTCGCGTCGGGAATCGGAGGTTTCCAGTCGCCAGGCTGAGGACTGCAAATGCAGTTTGCTCGCCCCGCCGAAGGGTCTCTGCTTGTGCGTTTTTTTCTTTAAAGGGAAGGAGAGTGGAAGGAAGGAAGGGCATACACAGAACACTGACTGGACGTGAATTGGAGCATTTCTGATGTGAGGGGCGTAGCGATTCTAGTTTCTTTCGGTTGCTTCGTTAGGTCAAGTTCGTTTCCGGAAGCTCCTCCCGCTTTGATTGACTAGGGGGTTTGGCACAACTTGGCTGAATTGAAGTGGGCTAGTTTGACCCGCTCCTGGTGGTTTCTTTCCTTTTCTTTTCTTTTGTATTTGGAGGACGCGTTCGTTTCCGGAAGCTCCTCCCGCTTTGATTGACTAGGGGGTTTGGCACAACTTGGCTGAATTGAAGTGGGCTAGTTTGACCCGCTCCTGGTGGTTTCTTTCCTTTTCTTTTCTTTTGTATTTTGAAGAGGCTGCTTCATCCCTGTCCAGGATGGAAGTTTTGAAGTCTTGTGTACTTACAAGAAGTGTGTGTGCTGCCGCCGCCTGCTTCTGGAGAAGCAAAGCTATCCCAAAGCGGCCAATTAGAGAGATTAGCACTACGCCTGCAAGGAGCACTGTCATGCCCGCTTGGGTGATAGATAAATATGGAAAGAATGAAGTTCTTCGATTCAATCAGAACATGATGTTACCGATCATACACTATCCAAACGAAGTCATTATAAAAGTCCATGCTGCCAGTGTAAATCCTATAGATGTTAATATGAGAAGTAAGTTGCTCAGACTTTTAATCAAAATTTCATTAGGCGTGCAGCTGTTTTGTTTGTGGGGTTTGTTTTTGTCTTAAAATAGAAGCTCACTCTCTAGCCCATGCTGGCCTCCAACTCACTGTATTCGGCAGACTAGTTTCCACTCTGCAGCTCTCCTTGCCCTGCCTCTCCAGTCCTGGGATAATAAGTGTTGGCATAAATGAATCATTTAGGTTTATTTTTGTTACATTTATTTATTTTGTGTTTGGGTTCGTGGGACAGTGCTCAACTGGAGGTATGGACGAAGGGGGTTGAACTCTATGAGGTTTGGTGGCAGGTGCCACTATAGGCAGAGCCATTTGGAATCGTGTAGGTTTTTTGATAATATCCCTGAATTTCCAAAAGTTTGAAGCCACAATAGCCGGGGAATACTTTAATCTTTATTAAATGTGTTTGGTTGCTTCCTTTCAAGTGATTAGGACTGAGAAGTAGTGCCTACAGTGAATTTACTGGGTGGTAATTTTAGGGTTAGGTGTAGGTTTCAGAGTTCAGTTATGTTTCCCCATTGATCTAGAATTTGGATTTATATAATTCCCATGTCCTTCTTGCTCTCCCATTGCTCACAGCTTTTGTTATAGGCCCAGTGGACCAAATAACAGAGCAGGACTCCAGGGTATGGGCACTGTATTCTCATTTCTCATATTGCATTTTGTACTCCGGAACTAAAATGTGTTTTCTTATTATACATCTGTTGAAATTGTAATATGTTATCCTAATTTCTCTTGCTTGGCCATGTTGAAAAGCTTGGTGAGCATTCCATATACCCTATACTGTGATTCTATTATAATAGTGAACAGATTGGTTTGTATTTATGAGTTACTTTAATTATGGAAAAATTTGATAAAAATATTGTCAGTCTTACTTGTGGGAACTCAGTCTGAAGATGAACATGTTTTGAGATGACTAATATCAGTATTAATTCCGAGGCAGTTAACCTCCTGGTGTTTAAGGAAGCTGCCACATGTTTAACCCTGGGTCAATGTTCTGAAGGGCTTGTGTGGGGGCCTACAGTTGCATTCAGTACCTCAGCAAAGGTTGTCATATATGACTTAATGTGTGACGAACTTAATTTCTCTGTATATGTACATATATGAGTATATCATATATGAGTATATGTGTGTTACCTGGTTACAAATTAAGTTAAAAGTAGCAGAAAATGTTGAGATCAACCTTACTTTTTCTCCAGAAATGATGCTATAGAGTAGCAATTCTCAATTTTGACTTCAAGTCTCATTTGTATCTAAAAATTACTGAACTATGAGCTATAATAACATCTTATCAGAAATGTGAAGAAATGCTGAAAATCTTTATTTTAAAATAGAGTAAATACAAAATTAAAACAAGAGTGAAGTATGAGAGGATCAAGAGACAGTTACCTATGTGAACTACTCAGATGGGCAGTAGTTGATACAGCACAGGATTTACCTCCAAAGAGGTTACTGGGTGTAAGAACCGTTTATGCCATTGAGATGGGTCAGTTTAGTTAAGGCACTTGCTGCCTAGCCCAGAGACCCAAGTTCAGTCCCTGTGAGGCACATGGTAGGAGAGAAATCATCCTGGAAAGTGGCCTGAGGCACATTTTTGCTACCCCAAAATAAATAAAATTTAGTAAGTTGTAAAAATTATAGGAAATTTAATGAGGTGATTAGCCTTGTTTTATGCCTCTGCACGTCTCTGGCTGCCTGGATTAATACAATAGCTGGATTTTCATACACAGTTCTGTGTTCCCTTATAGAGTTGTTTGAAATAATGAAGAAAAGGCAGCATCACAAAGATTTTTGGAAAAGAAGAAATGGTTTCTAAACTCTGTTCAGATTACAGGCATACCAAACCTGGAGAAACTCTAGATTTGGGAATTCAGGTCCAGATTTATGGATATTAGGTCATTTGACTCAAAATTTGAATGGTACATTTAACATTGTGACTTCCTAGACCTGTCCTGTTGTGGATAGTAGCTGCTAGCCACATATGGAAGGCTTTGAGCAGTGAATATTGTTGGTCTGAATTGAAAGTGCAGTCTCTGTAAAATACACTAGATTTCAAATACTTAGTAAAAAAAGAATTAAACATGTCACAATCAGATTTTATCAGGGCCGGTAGTAATTCCTTTGTGTAGCCATGTTGGACAAGATCCCCAGCATTAACAGCAACAAACAACAACAAAACAGAAGAATTACATATTAATTACATGTTATCTTGACAATATTGTGGATATTTGAGTAAAGTATTCCTAAAATTACTTTTATTTCCTTTACCTGGCAGAATAACTATTATTAGTAGCTTTTCTTCAGAGGAAGAAATTTGGAGAAAGGTCTGGGGTCTTAAGATGTTCTTAGCTGGAAAACTGCTGAAACTGGAGAGATAGCGCAGTTGATAAGAGTGCCTGCCTGCTTTGTGCTCCCTGGGTATGAGCTACAGCACTTCATAAGCCGGGAGTGGCAGTACACACCTACAGTCCAGGCACTGGAGAAGTAATGCCAGGAGCACCAGCAGGTCAAGGCCACTCTTAGTTGCATAGCAAGTCTGAGGTTGGCTTAGGTGTTACAGCAAACACACACAAAATGTGAACAAACTCAGATGTAGAGAGGGGTGGGATATAGAGTTCAAGACCATCTTGGGCTAAGCCATTAAGTGTCTCCCCAAACCATAATAACAATACAATTGAAAATACCTTTTGCAATTGTCTGTGTTTAACTTTTTTCTTCAGTGCTGGGGAGTGAGTTAAACCTCTAGTTTTGTGCTGATGTAATAATTATTACTCCTAGTTGGATATGATATTTTATTCCATTTTAAATTTTTTATTTTTAATTTTACATTAGGTAATTGAAGGTAATTTAGTTTTATAAGATATGGGCACAATGTGTGCTGCGTACAGTTTTGTTTCAGTAGAATGTGTCCATATCTTTCTAGACTACTATTTCATATAATGCCGTAGCACATTTTACTTTATAGAGTATTTTTGAGATGATCTAGTATCGTGTTACTTTACTGGGTAATACTATTTGAAAGTTATCTTCCAGCCTGTGGATGCTTTTTGAGAAAGTGTTATATGGTAGCTTTGGGAAATATTTGAGAAGAAAATATAATTATTTCTCTTGAGAAGAAAACAAGAGACACATCTATTTTGACAGATAAAGGCTGTTTTTTTCTGAAAAATGGCTGCTACTGTTGGACATAAAATAATAAATCATAGAAATGACTCAAGCCATGAATATTAAAAATAATATAGACAACAGCATATTTAGCAAGGTTTGGTTTGTCTAGATGGGATTAAGATCTCTGAAATTGATGACATTTTGGGGATTTTTCTAAATTTGCCCAACCCTGGACAAGTCAAGCCTGTGTTTGTGGCAGATGCTCTTGTCTTTTTTAAGAGTCTCTTGTGGGCTAGGCTGGGCTGGGCTGGCCTCAGACTCTATGTGGCTGAGGATGATCCTTAACTCCTGACCCTCCTGCCTGTGTTCCACAAGTGCTAGGGTTCCAGGTGTGTGTGCCATCACCCTCAGCTGGGATGACAAGCTTAAACCCCATTTTTGTCACCAAACAGGGTCAGTTTATCACTGCAAGCTGGCTACATTCTGGTGTGAGATGAGGTTAGCTATGTCTGGCTACTCTTAATACATTAGCATATTAGGGTTATTAAGAAAATGGTTGAAAACAATCTGAACTGTTGGCTTGGGATCGCAGAAAGGGCTGAAACCTTTTTGCAACTTCACAACTGAATTGTGACAAAGCTAAATATTCAATTGTAAATTGCTTATGTCTTAGCAGAGGGAAATAAATATGAGACAGGAAACATGAGCACATGCCCTTTGTGAGTCTCACATGCAATGATGCCATTTTCTGTGATGGAGGGCAGTTCTAGCTAGCCACATGGCAAATGTGGAGTGTTGGCATAAGGAAGGAACACTGGTTTAGATTTTTCTGGAACTATCCCAACTTTGACTTTCTCTCAAGTGCCTTGATTTTTTTTTTCTTTAGAAAGACAACTTCTGCAGACTACCCATCTGTCAGCATCTCCCCTTATCTACTTTTCACTTTGCTGTGTAGACTGATTGTCACTGCGCCTGCTAAGGCCAACCTTCTACTTGTCTTCTTGATCTCATCCTCTCTCACTTACTCTGGAGTATCTGTTCTCTCCTGCATTTCTTTTTTTCTTTTGTAGTGTGTTATTCATAAAAGCGTACAACCTTGTGATTCTTATTACTTTCTTCTGCCATTGTGTTATTATACTTACTTTGTTTAGAGTCCCTTAACTGCTTTTGACCTTATTTGAAAACAGCATTAGATATTTTCAAGGGCCATCCCTTGGCTTTCAGAACTCTCTGGAGTAGCTAGGCCCAATTATCACTCTGGATTATTATTGCAGAAGAGCAGTTAATTTATTTGAACCAAACAAATGGTTTTAGCTTTACTTATCTGTTATCTTTGTAAATAGCCTTAAAAACAAGATGTATGCCTGTGTGTGGTACCATACACCTTTCTTTAGTCCTAACACTGGAGAGGCAGAGGCAGATGGATCTCTGTGAGGCCAGCTTGATCTCCATAGCAAGTCCAGGTCAACCAGTGAGACTCTGTTTCAAAAACAAACAAACAAAGCCCCCAAACCAGTGCACCTCACTACCAAGATATAATGCATTTGACCTGATCTGACATATCAGATGTAGCTCAGTGTCTCTTTTCCACTAAAGTTCTTTGCCCTTACTCAGAGCCATTATTCTAGATAGATTTTTAGGAGATGGAGACTAGAACTCAAACTTATAATCCAGTGCTAGTATCAGGTACTTTAATATGTATGAATCCTTTAACGGCCTGACCATTTGTTTTCTTTACCAGACTTAGTACTAAATGTCTTTGTTCTTAAAAGAATATGAGCATGGTGGCACATCTCTGTAGTCCCAGCATTCAGGCTGAGACAGGACGATCATGAGTTGCATGATCCTTTCTAAAAACTTAAGAAGTTTTCAAATGAATCAATTAATAGAGAGCAATTCAAAGAGCAATTATATGAAAGGATTCTAAAACTCCAGAAGACAGTGTTGCAAGCTGAGTTTCAAAGAGACTTTGAGCAATTGTGGTTTTAGTGATCACAGCTGTCTAAGTAATTTTCTTTGAAAGGAATGACACCCAGTTGTTTTTCTGCTTCACTGTGTGGTGGCAAAACTGTAAAGCTTGTTGTGTTAGAGTGTGCATTTGAGCAGATGACATTGACCTGCCTGTGTCCTATAGTATTTTAAAATCATTCTGATCTTTTCCTTTAAGAAGCAGGTAAATTGTGTTTTGTAGGTGGTTATGGAGCAACAGCTTTAAATATGAAGCGTGACCCTTTGCATATGAGAACCAAAGGAGAAGAGTTTCCGCTGACTCTGGGTCGGGATGTGTCTGGTGTGGTGATGGAGTGTGGGCTGGATGTAAAGTATTTCCAGCCTGGAGATGAGGTGAGTTCATCCTTTTTCCTTAGCGTCCCCCTCCCCTTCCTTCCCCTTCCTTTGCCTCCCCTCCCCTCCTTTCCTCCCTCCCTCTCTTCTCTTTTCTGGCTTTTGTTTTTGAGACTGGTTTTCATGTAACCCAGGCTGGTCTCAACTTGTTACATAGTGTCTTAGTCACTGTTCTATTGCTGTGAAGAGATATCATGACAAAAGGAAGCATTTAATTGGAGGCTTGCTTATGGTTTCAGAGGGTTAGTCCATTATTACCATGGTGGGAAGCATGGTGCACACAGGCAGCATGGTGCTAGAGAAGCAGCTAAAAACTTTACATACTGATCTAAGAGGCCTAGAATGGTATTTTAAACCTTAAAGCCCACCCCCAGTGACACAACTTCTCCAACAAGGACATATCTATTCCAGCAAGGCCACACCTCCTAATCCTCCCCAAACAGTTCACCAGCTGGAGACTAAGCATGCAAATATATGAGCCTATGAGGTCCATTCTCCTTCAAAGCACCCCAGGGTGCTCTTGAACATAAGATTCTGCTTGTCCACCTCCCAAAGGACAGGTTTACTGACATATGCTTCTATGTCCTGCTCTCTTACTTTATTCCTTTTTTTTTTACATTTTTTCTTTTCAGTATGTATACTGACTGTCCTGTGGCCAGAACACTTGTTTCTTGGTTTGATTCTTTCTCTTTCTTTCTTTCTTTCCTTCTTTCTTCCTTCCTTCCTTCCTTCCTTCCTTCCTTCCTTCCTTCCTTTCTTTCTTTTGAGACAAGGTCTTGCTGCTTGGAACACTCTACGTAGCTCAGGCTTGTCTTGAAGTTGTGGCAATGTCTTGGCTTCCTTAGTGTTCACCATTACATGTATGAGCCACACGCTCAGCTTATACATGTGTTTTCTAAATTTAGTTCTGAAGAATTGTAAGACTTTAAAACATGTAGGATTAGGACATTTTTTTGCTTGAGTCTTTAAATGACAGTTTCTACCTTATAGATTAGCTGGTTTTGAAATAGCTAAAGTTTGGTATAATCTTCTGTCACTTGTCACTTTGGATGCTTATGCCAAGAGATAGTAAAGAACTCATGATAATAGCCATGTTTGGGTTCTTTTTCACAGAGAAGGTAATCCCTGTAAGTCAGCACAGCCAGTTTGCAGCTGAGGAAGCCATGCTATAAAGTGCCCCACAGCCAGCTGGGCATGGTGGGTTCACCTGTAATCCCAGATCTAGTATATATATATATATATATATATATATATATATATATATATAAATAAATAAGAGTTGAAAACCACACCTGGTAAGTTGTATATCCCCAGAAGAGTCTTGGTGAACGTAGCAGGTATATTAGTATGTGTGTTCAGTGTGGTTTGAGTTGATAAATCCAGAATCATATTCAGCAATGACCTGGTATCATGTGAAGCTTAGCTTTTTGCCCCAGAGCCCCTTCCCTCTCTGGGTAGCTGTGAGTTAGGGTGTGCCTTCATGCTTAGTTTGGGTCAGACATTTTTGTGTCTAATAAAGCTGCACATCTGCATTTCAGGTTTGGGCTGCAGTTCCTCCTTGGAAACAAGGCACTCTCTCAGAATTCGTTGTGGTCAGTGGGAATGAGGTAACTCACCGTCTCTGCTGAAATGCTTAGCTGTATAAGGAAGACTGGCAGGCCTCTCGAAAGTCATTAGTGGTTTTTCAGATTAGGTCCATGTTTTATGGGCAACATTGAGAGAGCTAAAACAAAGACTAGGAAACTTTGAAAGAGTACAAACTTTTTGGTGTTATTTATTAGCTGCCTGCTGCAACAGTCATCTGTATCCATACACCAGAGACTTGGGCTGAGGGTTAGAATACTGCAGTGCTCTTCGCTCTACCCAGTGTGAACCAAATCTACCCAAGAGAGAGGCATGGAGGAATCCGATGTAGTCAGGGGTCCTAACAATTAATAGAGAGGAAGGTTAACAGTGAGGGATTCCCACAGAGGGAGCCTGGAGGAGGAATTGGGAGTTACTAGGATAGGAAAAAGTCTAGAAAAAATACTTTCCAGAAAACAGAGTAGTTTATCTAATAGTAGTTTATCTAATAATGTAGCCTGCAAAGCATTCCTAAGCCTCTATGATACAGGCTGTTAGGAGACTATTTGGAGACCAACTTTGGAATAGGGTGCGCAGTAAACACTGAGCCCAGAAGTAGTTTGTAAATTTCTCTGTGAAAATTCTTGTTTTGTCGTGAAGGTAAATGCTTAGCTGTGTATGTAGGCTTGCAAGTTCCTGCTTAGTTTTGACCATTGTGTCTCAATGTAGGTCTCGTATAAGCCCAAATCACTCACTCATACTCAAGCTGCCTCTTTGCCGTATGTGGCTCTCACAGCCTGGTCTGCCATTAACAAGGTTGGTGGCCTGAATGCCAAGAATTGCATGGGAAAACGGTAAGTGCAATGGTGACATCTGAAGGGAATCCCTTCTCTTCTAGGTCTTCACAGCAGATCTGTTTGTGTTTAGATTCCATTAGCTGTGTGCCCAGTTATGCTAACATTTGAAACATTTTATTTTAAAGCCTCATTCTCCAGATTCTCAGCTGAATCAAATGGCAGGTTTTAAAAGACGTATAGTTAAGCTGTCTAGGAGTCTCCTATATTAGGGCATTTAAACTTTTTTTCTTTACATACATACATACATACAGTATATATGCCGGTGTGAGGTTATGTGCACCACATGAATTCAGGTGCCTTGGCCAGAAGAGTGGTACTTTCGTCCCACCAGGGCTTACTTGAGGGTTTGTGTATTTTAATGGGTCTACAGAATGCCACTGAATACTCTTGAGTTGCCTTGGGCTCAGTTTTTACTCCTTGGAGTTCAGCTCTGATGCCCCAGTGACTAGGGCAGCAATGAGACACTGACAGTGTCTCGACTCATTCATCCTCATCATCCGTGTTTTCACCTTCTATAGTGTCCGTTGCAGCTCTGTGGTCAACCGTGGTCTGAGAGGATGAGTTCAGGAGAGTCATATGTTTAGCAGCAGGAGGGAAACCTCACATTCATGTAACTTTTATTATAGTGCATTGTTAGATTGCTTTTTATAAATCACCCATTTTCCATTTATTATTTTACCCCCATTATAAACTTGATTGTACTTATGTATGTAAAGTATCTGTAGTGGCTCTGAAATGCAGTGTGGGGGAAGGGCTGTTATCTTTTCATTCATGATCTGCTTCTGCTACTCCATAGCTGGGTGACGTATTCAGTCGATTTCTCTGACTTTTGTTTTGAAGAATAAATGAGTTAAAGAATGTAAAGCTGGTGGCACTCAATAAATGGTGGCTTCTGTTATTACTAAGGACATTATAATGCAGTTTGTAGTTTAGAATGTTGACATAGGAACTGGTGATATGGCTCAGTGATTAAAAGTGCTTGTAATTGAAGCTGACAACCTGAGTTCACCCCCTGGGACCCATATGGTAAAAGGAGAGAATATTCCTCTCCCCCAGGAAATAAATAAATGTAAAAAAAAAATTCTTTTACAAAGAAATTTGATGGTGAAATTCATTATTTTGATTTTCTTTTTTTCTTTTTTTTTTTTTTTTTTTTTTTTTTTTTTTTTTTTTTTTGGTAGAAAAGCAGGTACACTGGACCAGTTAGTGAAAGGAAGGGAGAGCTGTAGATGATACCAGAATAAAATAGCACAGTTCTTTTTTTAAATAATTACATTTATTTGTATACATGGGGCAGGTGGTGTGTACTATCAGAGGACAAATTGCAGGTGTTGGTTCTCTCCTTCTGTCACGTGAGCCCCAGGAATGGAACTCAGGTTGTCAGACTTGGTGGTAGGTGGCTTTACCCATGGACTCATCTTCTCTGCCCCACAATTCTTTTATTTATTTATTTTTTATTACAAATAAAGTCTATGACATTCTGCTTTTTCCACTATGAAATGTTACACTTCAATGTGTGGGCAATAGAGAACTGAATTTGTAAAGGTTTAGGCTTTATCTCTGAAAGCATTTCAAATGCTGTTTGTCTGAGGGAGTATTGCCATTTATCTCAGAATTAAAGGCAAGCATTTACTCTAAAGGCCAACCTTGCTTTTTAAGTTTTCATGAGTTATCTTTTTCAAAGTTGCCGTCTTGGTCAAAAATAGTTTAAATTGAGTCGATTTGACCACAGACTTCCTTCCTTACTAACTTGCAGAGATCTTCCAGATTTTTATACCTTTATCAGAAGCTTTATTGTTTTGGTCCCTTTCCCTTAAAAATTCTAGACTCACTGTGCCTGTATGGCTGTGTGCATGGTGTGGCTACAGACTTCTTGTTCCTTTTGGGTTTGGAGATCTCTTGAGTATATTTTAGTACACTGTGAAAACCAATGTAGTACAGAAATTCAACTGCTTTTCCTTAGGTTCATCACTGTGAATGCCCAGTTTGCTGTGGCTTATGGGTAATTATTTGGCTCACTGTTACTGTCTGTTAAAGCTCTTCTGTTAACTTACCAAGTGGCCACATGCTGTTTCCTCAGAATGTCTGAACATAAGATCCTAGGTTGGGGGAACTTTGAGAAGTGGAATAATAATAATATATTTTTAAATTTTAAGCAGAATTTAAATTACATTTTATTTAATTTACTTGTGTAAATTCTGGGTAAAAAAAAAAAAAACTCAGTCTGTCAGTTTTGGTGGCAAATCCCTTACTTAGTGATCCATCCCAGCAGCCCCAAGGCCATTACATATGATATTAGATTGGATTTGTTAACTGCTATAGCCTTAGAGAACTAACCTAGAGTGAAAGGCAGTGAAGAGCCTCAGTAACTGATACCAGGAACTTCTTTTCATATGCATAGTGCAGGACACCTGTGTCACAGTCAGTACTGAGAGCCTGGCACCTTGTGCCCTTCACCCTTCTAGAACAAAATACCACAGAGTGGAGTCTAGAAGTTCAAGATCAAGATACTGGTAGTCTTGATTTGATGTCTGGAGAGGGCCAACTTCTGGCATCCAGACAGTGCTTCTTGCCTGTCTCCACATGCTGAGAAGGTCAAGATCCTTGGGAGCTCCTTCAGAATGACCACTCAGGAGGGCTCTGCCCACGTGACCCAGACACGTCCTATCCCTTCACTTGGATTTGAGATACCAGCATCTGAGTTCTGGAGGGACACATTACAAACATTGGAACTGCAGCAATTGGTACTTGATGGCTCCAGAAATGTCATCTTGATTAAATCATTACATGTGAGGTACAATAATAGCTTACCTTTCCAATTATTTGTGACAATCACAAGGGATGGGAGTACCTAAACATACTATAAACATAAGGAAGGAAGGGAGGGAGGGAGAAAGGGAAGGAGGGAGAGAGAAAGAGAGAGAGAGAGAGCGAGAGAGAGCGAGAGAGAGAGAGAGAGAGAGAGAGAGAGAGAGAGAGAGACTGTGAGAGTGTGCCATGTGTATGAGAAGGGTACCCATGGAGGCCAGGGGTGCTGGGAACTGAACTTGGGTCCTCTGGAAGAACAGCAAACATTAACTGCTTAACTGCTGAGCCACCCTCCAGAGATGCATTAGTATCTTCGTGCTTATTTAGGGAGACTTTAGACATTAGACAGAAATGGCAGCATATTAGATCTAAAGTTTAAGAGAGCAAGTATGGTGGCACATGCCTGTAATCCCAGCACTTCAGAGGCTGAGACAGGAGGATCAGAGGTTCAGGCTACCCTCAGCTACATAGCAGGTTTGAGGCCTAGTACCTAGTACCCTGACTCAACAACAAAGAATGCATAACTTTGTAATAATCATTCCTGTATTCCCATGTCTTCTAGATCTGCCACTAGTACAGTCTCGGAGTCTTCAGGGTAAGCTCTGTGGACTAGGAAGTGAGCGGCTATGTATTAAATAAAACCCTGGACAGTTTTGAATTAAAGTGCTCTTACAAGTATAATATTTCTTGGGCTGTTTCTATATAAACCAGTGGTTCTCAACCTGTAGGTCGTGACTCCTTTGATAAACCTCTATCTCCAAAAATACTATATCACAAGTCATAATGGTAGCACAATTACACTTATGAAATAGCAATCAAAATAATTTTATGGTTGGGGGTCACCATGGCATGAAGGTTTGGAACCACTGACATAAACCAACAAACAGCACACTTTTCATCACTGTGCCCAGGTTCCAGCTCCAGTTAGATTTGCATGTGTAGTGTAGCCTTTACAGCAAGCAAGGTCAGAAAATGCTCCTCCTGGAACAGCATCTAAGTGCTGCTGTGAGATAGACCCCGAACTGTCTCAGGGCTCTGAGGTACTCCATGGATTGTTAGCCACAGGAACCATCAGCTTATTGCTGGCTTTAGGACTCATTTTGCCTGTTGTCCTTTTGGAGATTTACTCTGTTTGAAAAAAGAATAGGCCCTGCTTGACCCTACGCAATACCAAAGTTTGCATGGCCAGAAAATTGTGTGCCCGGGTGTCTCCATCACTTCTTGAGCCTACTCCTTGGCCTTTTGCACTTTGAGGGCGCCCTCAGGTGTCAGCATTGGGAACTGACACTGTTTGCCAAACCTGGTTCTTAAGCCCTCCTTTTGTGAGATAATTTTGCTCTTTTATTTAGGAAGTGAAGCTGCTTCAAATTAAGAGTCATGGGAAAGAGACAAACTGACAAGAAGGAGTTGGAGATGTGTCCAAAAGTTAGGTTCCCAGGCAGCTATTATATTTGGTATCCTTTTAGTCCTGTCTTCTCAGGGAGATACTAGAGTCTTTTTTATTTTTTCTTAAATGATTTATTTATTTTTATTTTACATGTATTGGTGTCTTGCCTGCATTTATGTCTATTTGGAGGTGTCAGATCCCCTGGAACTGGAGTTACAGACAGTTGTGAGCTGCCATGTGAGTCCCAGTCATCTGGAAGAACAACCAGTGCTCTTAACCTCTGAGCCATGTCTCCAGCCCCCTAGAAAGGAATTTCAAGCTTTACTGAAAGAAACTTTAATGCAGTCTGTCAAGTAGCCAGGTGATCCCCTCTCGTCAGGTGATAGCAATTACTGTGCTGCTTATAAGATACGATGGTGAGGAGATGATTTTTATGAAGTCGAGCCCTGACCTGGCATATAGTATAGTATAGTATAGTATACTCTGCTAGCGCAGGAAGTCTCTGTCCTTCAGTGCCTGCAAAGTAGAAATAGGTGCTCACATTGAACGAGAGGCAATAGGCTCTTCACCCCTGTTATCTGCTGAGAGTGTCTCCTTTATATCCATGTATGGAATGTGTTTGTCTCCATCCCTTTACACAAAAGAAACAAAACAAAGATCAGACAAACACCAGGCACAGAGTAATGCCACAGTATTTGTAAGAGTAATGGCTGCTGAAATATCTTTAAGCCACCAGAAAGGCATTTCCTCACTCAAAAATTACCAGGCCTTAGACAACTACAATCTTGATAAAATGCCTGTTCTTTTCTATCTTAATATAGATTGAAAGAAAAACTTGAAGTTACTTGAAGGAGAATTTCGCTAATTTAGATAATGAGCAAAAAGTCAGTGGCAAATATTTGTGGGTAAACTGTTAGATGATCTGTATGACAGATGTTCTTTGTTACATGGTTTGGTTTGAGACAGGGCCTCATTGGGTTACCCAGGCTGGCTTGGAGCTTGCAGTCTGCCTGCATTAGCCTCCTGAGTGCTGGGTTTGAGTTGTGTCCACCTCAGCTGTGAGGCACTTTCCCACTTAGGAGATACTAAGGCTATGAAGGATGAGAGTTTGGAGGAGTGAGACATCTCCAGAGTTCCTTCCTTTCTTCACTATCGGTTGTTCTATGCAATGGAAACTACTTGTAGAAGGAACATGATTTGCAAGGAGACTTTTTAAAATTATATTTAATGGTATTTCAAAGGGAACAGCTGGCTTGGAAATTATAGTAATAACTTTTTAACATATAACAGATGATTATAATCAGCCTCTGTGATTTGAGTGAGGGACAGAAAAAATGAAGCTAGGGTTAAGATTATAGACGGAGTGTGTGTTCTGAGGTTCAGTGCACTGGTTAGTGGGAGGTGGTGAAATTCTGTACAGTCTGGTAGTGAAGAAAGGGCCCATAAGTAGCACTTATGTATTGAGAGTAGCAGACAAGCAGCCGGCACTCCCACCACTTAGTCTCAGAGAGTTTTCATGAACAGTCTCCCATAATCGCTAATATGGTATCAGATACCAGACAGCCATCACACCATGTCCCCACTCCTCTGCTGATAACACAGCACCAAACTGCAGTTCAGTACAGTTTTCTAGGCATTTGAAACCATGCAGTCCAAAAAGGCAGTTAATTCCAGAGTAAAAGGTAAAAGTATGCAAAGCAGTGATTCTTTCAAATATGTTTTAACTCTGTGTGTGTGTGCGTGTATGTGTGTGTACATGTATGGAATTGGAGGACAACTGACTCAGGAGTCTGTTCTCCTCTCCCTTTGTGGGTTCCAATGATTAAAGTCAGGTAGTCAGGCTTTCACAGCAAGCACCTCTACCCACTGAACCATCCTGCCTGCCCGACGCAGTGAGTTTTGACCACTGATTCTCTTTCAGATCACAGACTTCTTTGGGAATGGATGGTAGGTCTGTATCCTAGGCACACCCGTCCTTGCATTGTGTTTAGAGGCTCAGCCACTAGCCCCCCCCCCCCCCCCCCACCTCTACTTCACTCTCCACGAACTCCAGACCTAGCCCCCGTACCCCGTCCCACGTGGCAGGAAGACACTATGTAGATGTGGTAAGAGCCTGAAGCTTGGGTGCCTGTGCTGACCCGACACCTATCTGCTTCCACAGGAAGTCATACAGAGGATGAGAATCGTCTATGACAGTTGAGGAGTTAGCAGGACATGCCTGAACACAAGGTGTTCCTTCCACCTTGGCAGGAATGTGGTCAGGAATGTGACTTTTCTGAGAGAGCCGCATTAAAAAGCACCTCAGGTTCCCCCTTACAGAGGAACTGTGGTGACTTTAGCCTAGAGAAATTGCAAAGCAGTTACAAAGAAACATCCAAACTGCCAGCAAGTGAAAATTGTTAGTATGCTAATATTTTGTGTTCTCAATTAACAGTTTATAAAATATTTCATTTTAAGTATTTGTAGCTTCTTGATGAAATCTGTGTCACTTAATCTTGTAAAGATGAATAACTTTATTTGCTTTGGGGATTGTTTATCAGTGAGGCAGTTCCCTCTTAAAAGTTCTGCTTCTCAGGTGTGTCTGCCTAAGATTCTCACAGGTTATGTTTCATTTTCTATTGCAGTGCTTTAATCTTGGGTGCCTCAGGTGGAGTTGGTACTTTTGCGATACAGGTAAAAGACTTTTTTAATCTTGTGACTAGGAAGGCTTTTATTTCTACGAACTTATAATTCCATATATTATAAATTAGCTTTCCTTCAAGACTGGGTCTAGTGTTCTGGTTAATTTTGTCAGCTTGACACCAGCTATAGATACCTGGGAAGAGGAAACTTCAGTTAAGGAATTGCCTCCATCATATTTGCTTGTGAGCATATCTGGGGGCATTTTCTTGATTAATGTTCAGTGTGGGTGGCACCATCCCTGGGCAGCTGGTCCTGGATTGTGTAAGAAAGCATGAGCAAGCCATGGAGAGCAAACCAGGAAGCAGCTCCCTCCATGGCCTCTGCTTCAGTTCCTGCCCTGACTTCCTTGATAATAGAGTATATCTGTCAACTGAAATACTTTACTCCCCACATTGGTTTTGGTCGGTGTTTTAATACAGTAACAGAAAAGCAGGGCATCTAGTAAGTGCCTTTTAATTTCAGTGATCCAGATGAGCATGTTGTAATATAAAAGGAAACACTAACCTTTCCAGTCATTTAGGGTAGAAAAGCTGAGTGTGTGGAACAAAACCCTTTGGGAGGAAGACCACGATGGTGGTTGTAGATGAAAGTTTGCAGGTTAGTAGTAAACAGCATTACCCAAAAGTGGGGCTAGCTTCCAGTAAGAAATGTTACAGGCTTTTGGTAGAAACTGACAAGCCAGAATACCACTTTCAAGTGGTCTGCATATTCATTGTAAAGCTTCTTTCCCATACAGGGCGAGTTTATTCTGACATGTATATGGGATTACAAAGTAACCCAAATAGCCAAATTTTTGAAAAAGAATAGAATTAGTTCCAAATTTCAAATTTACTACTAAGCTAGTGTATTCAAAATAGTGGAATACTAGAACAAAATAGAAAACAAAGAACTATCCAGAGACAACTCTGTATATGTGTGGGCAGTTTTGTTTTTTATGTGTCTATGTGTGTCTATGCCACATGTGTGCAGGTGCCCAGAGAGGCCAGAAGAGGGTTCAGATCCCCTGAAGTTGGAATTATAGTGCTTATGAGATGGTAACTGATGTAGGATCCTATGGGAGAGCAGTCAGTGCTCTTAACTGATGAACCATCTCTCTGGCTCCATCATTTCTTTTTCAATAAGGATGACAATATGGTTAAGTGAGTGGAAAATGTCCTTCCAACAGATGTTTAGACAATGTGATGTCCACTTACAAAAGAAGGGAATTGGGTTCTTACCTACACAATAGGCACAAGCTGAATCAGAGTTAAACGTAAGAGCACCGATCAGAACAGTCTCAGAAGAAACCAGCTATAAATATCCATCCCCTTAGATTTGGCAGCAGATTCTTAGATGTGACACTAAACATAAACATAAGCAATAGACTTAAAAGGCAAGTAAGTAGAACTTTATCGAGTTAGACTCTTGATACATCAAAGGGCACTCACTATCAAGGAGATTTTAAAAAAGAAGCAACCCACATGTTTTGGTTACTTTCCTTGTGGCTGTGACAAAATATGTGAAAAAAAGTACATTAAGAGGAAAGGGAGTTTTTAGCTCATAGTCCATCACGGCAGGGAAGTCAGGCAGCAGGATTTGGGGGCAGCTGGTCATTTGAGGGCAGCAGGATTTGGGGGACCTGCAGTCAGGAAGAGGTTTTCTGCTTTTACACAGTCTGCACCACCACCCAGGAACCACCCAGTGGCACCCAGTGCCACCACATTTAAGGTAGGTCTCCTACCTCAGCTAACTGATCTGGAAAGTCCCTCACAGGTACTCTCAGAGTCTTGTCTCCTAGGTGAGTCTAGATTTTGTCAGGCTGGCAGTCAGGCTTGGAACACCATGGGGGAGTATTTCTAAGTTATAAATCTGATAAGGGTCTGCTCTCCATGCTACATAAAGAACTCATACTGAAACAACAAGATGATATCATCTTCAAAACAGAAAAGGTGCCAAGCCTGGTGGTAATGCTTGTAACCCAGCACTTGGAAGGCTAAGGCAGGAGGATCTTTAGTTTGAGGTTAACCATATAGAATAAGTTCCTGTGTAACATGAGTTCTAATAGGTCTTACTAATAAAAGCCTGGAGTCAGCTATTAGGGGCTGAAAGATCAGAGAAGCAGGGCAGCCATCTACTAGAGCTCTTACCTCTATGAAATCCTCAGATTGAAAGAGAGGGAGTTCCTGTTTCCTCCTGCTCAGCCATCTCATTCATTTCCTGTTTGTCTGTACAGAACTTCAGACCTCTATGTTTAGCTAGTGGCTAGCTCTGCCCTCTGATCTTCAGGCAAGCTTTATTTGTTAGATGTCGCCATAATCCTGTTTTAAGGAAATAAAACACAGTGAAACACATTATCATGGGAAGAGGCTGAACATCATTCTTGCTTTGGGAAATAGAAGAACTACAACAAGATACCATGCCACGCCTAAGGATGGTCTTAATTAAATAAAGTAAGAACAAGAAATGTGCTAGCAAGGGGGTAGAGGACCAAACTGATAGTAGCTTCTGCTGCCACTACAATACTGGAGGCAGTCAGCTTACTAAAAGCAAAGGTTTAACTTGGAATTCCGGAGGCTTTAGTCCATGAGCCTCTATACCACCGAGCTATACCCCTAGCCTTGTGGTTTTAGTTTTGAGTGATAGTCCCTCATTGAAATTGTAGTTATGAGTGAAAATACAAGAAGTAATTGACTGCCTTGGGCACCTGCACACATGGCACACACTCACATCCTAAAAATATTTTAAAATTTTATGTTGTGAAATATAGCTCAAAAAAGTACTTGTGACATAATGTGTAGTTTAACAAATTATCATAAAGCAAACATCATGGGCGTGAGTCATATTGTAATTGTTAAATATTTTGGAGATGGCTACAGGAATTGGTCTCAGCCTCCTGCATGCCAAACTCCACCTCCAGGGCTCTTAGTGGTCAGGCCTGCTTGGCTCTCCCACTTGAGTTGTGCTTATCAGAAGTGTTTTGAGTGTCTGAATGTGTGAACTGTCTCTCACTGTACCATTTCTCACTGAAAGAATGTAGAGCCTCTAGAGAAATGGGGAGTTACAGAGGGTTCACAGTGTCAGTGAGCCTCAGTTTCCCTCAATGGCAGGGATACCATCAAACCATCAGGTCACATCTTAGACAAATGTGGCAGTTTCACTTTCTGTAATGACTGTAGTAGCTTGAATCCATATTTAAGTTCATGAGTTTATTGTTGATGTATTTTTTTGGGAAAAAAAAGGTTATGAGGAACAAGTTACTATATTATAAATTGATAAAGGGAAATAATTAAATATTCCTGCAAGTGACCTATCATGAATGTATAGCCCCAGCTTTTGTCCTACCACTTTTAAATTTTATTTATTTATTTGTTTGTTTGTTTATTTTAGTTTTTTGAGATGGGGTTTCTCTGTGTAGCCCTGGCTGTCCTGGAACTTGCTTTGTAGACCAGGCTGGTCTCAAACTCATAGAGAGTTTTAAATGAACTGTATGACTGAGCAAACCATATAGTATTTGAAGGGAAGTATTTGAAGGGAAGTATTTCTCAATTAATTATGACCACTAAATGAAAAGACCTACCACTTTTAAATGAACTGTATGACTGAGCAGACCATATAGTATTTCTCAATTAATTGTGATCACTAAATGAAAATAAACAGAACTTGAACATTATTCTTTGCAGCCAGCAGTGAACAGGTGTAAGTCCTGAGCATCGACAACTTGCAGAAATCCTCTGGCTGTGTCAGACGATATCCATGGTTTTCTAAAGACGCCTGATTCAGTCTTACAGCCATCTCCCAAGTGCAGAGGACACAGCAGCTTGTGGAACTGCCCCCTGTGCAAACACAAGTTCCAGACTACAGGACAGTTCTGCAGGTCAAATGGCCTGGATTCTTTCACAGATAAACTGTAGGAGAACAAAGGGATAGTAGCCTGTGGTTTAGAAGAGGGTTCCCCCTGCCCCATATTTTAAAAAATGAACAAACCAAAATATTGTGCCTGTGGGTTGCATATTTGGATGACATTTTTTTTTAGTGTCAGGAATTGATTACTATAAAAAAAATCAAGATAATGGTGACTTTAAAAGGAGGTGGTTGAGAGAGGGACTTGGGTTGAGACAAGGCAAAAAGAAAAACTTTTGAATGGCTGCAGGTATTCTGTTTATCTGAGTGGAATCTGCCTCCTAGGTGCTTTTTGTATTTGTACTTTATTTTACATGAAAACTTCTTCACTAAACTTTTTAGTAGTATCATAGATAACCTGACAGTTCTAAGTGGGTCAGGAAAAGCAAGACATTAGAAGGTTGAGCTGTTTTGTCACATGATAGAGTCTTCCTGAGGATTTAACGATGGTAAATAAACCATAGGGCTGGAGGGGTGGCTCAGTGGTCAGGAACCTGGTTGCTCTTCAGAGACTGGGGCTCGGTTCCCTGCACTCTCATCATAGCTTACAACTGTCTGTAATTCTAGTCTTGGGATCCAGTGCCCCCGTGGGTCCTCTGTGGGGACCAAGCATGCATGTGGTGCGCGTGCGCACACTCACTCATATGCATAAAACAAATATAAATCTTTAAAGAAAAGCATGCCATAGATACAAGTCTATTTGGCACATCATTTCCTTTTCTCAGCAATGTCTTGCATGTTTTGGGGAAAAGATGGGCTTCTTAGATCCCACCTGGGACTTTGCTCAGGACTTGCTGTTGAAAGCAATCTATGCCTTCACTGCAGTCTCTTTCTGTGGCCCACACATAATACACTATATATGCTATCCTTCCTCAGTGGTTTTCAGGATATATAAGTCCTTGGGAAATATTTTTGTTTTGTTTTTGTTTTGAGATAGGGTCCTGTGCATCATAGGCTGACCTTGAACACTATATGGCTAAGAATGACCTTGAGTTTTTGATCCTTTTAGCACTATGTCCCAAAGTGCTGGAAGTACATGTGCGTGTCACCATATTTGGTTTGGTCTATGTTAATACCAAGTTTCTTGATACATTTGAAGTATGTTACCTGATACTGGAAGTATTCCCTTTTAACTCTGTGAAATTGACATTGTAGAAAAAGTGGAGGGCGATTTCAGATACTTAAACCTGAATAACATTAGAATCATGTACTCTTATATGAAGTCTGTTTTTAAATATGTGACTTGTGTTTTAAAATGAAGAGACCATTTATCTAGGCCTTCTTACTCCAAAGGAGAGGACCCAATTTGTGTTCTAAAACTAAAGTGTCCATATTTTCTGAATAACTTGCACCTAATAACTTATCACTGTGTATTTTTCTAGTTGTGCTTTGTGCGTGTGTGCATGTAGAGGCCAGAGATTGACACTGTTTTCTTCTGTCACTCTTCATCTTGTTTTTTTGAGACAAGGTCTGTCCCTTGAAGCTGGAGCTCACTGATTTGGCTAGACTAATAGACTAAAAAGCTCCAGGACCCCTCCTGTGTCTGCCTCCTGGTGCTGGGACTGCAGGCGTGGCCTGACTTTTTATATGCTGTGGGATCTGACCTTGGGTCCTGCTGCTTGCCAGGCAGGCACTTTGCTGATTTGCCCATCACCCTGGTAACTTGGATGCCCTGCCTGATTCAAGCCATTATGGAGATGCAAATGAGGAGGTGTTGCATCCTTACATTCTGGGTGCTTTGTTGTATATTCACATACTGAGGATGTGTGATGCTTGTTTCTCTCTTTTCTGCTATTTGCCCTTAGTCATTAAAGGTGCTAAATTTGAAGCATGTAACTCCCCTGTATTTCTGATCCTGGGGGGACCCTGCATAAACTTCTGAGACAAAAGGTGGTCTTGCCTATGGAAGATGAGATCTAGTGGGGTTTTCCTGACAGTTTTATCATTTTAACTGGTTCTGATAGGTAGTCTCCTGCAGTTCTTGCTAAGATGAAGACTTAAAAGTTCTCTAGAGATTACTCAGATATGTGTACACCTGGCACTAACCTTGTCTTAAAAAAAAAAAAAAGGAATTTTTTACTTTCCCCTTCTGTCCCCTTCCCTCTGCAGATAATGAAAGCATGGGGTGCTCATGTGACAGCAGTTTGCTCTCAGGATGCCAGTAAACTTGTAAGGAAGCTTGGAGCAGATGAAGTCGTTGATTACACGTCAGGAAGTGTGGAAGAGCAATTGAAATCCTTAAAACTGTAAGTAGAGCAGTGCTCCCCTCTGGAAGGAGGGCTCAGCTACTGTGGAGTGTGTAGGTCTGAGTCATGCTGGAGTCTTCTAAAAGACTAAAAGCATTCCTTGTCATGTGCATTCATTCCCACAGCCATGTACTTGGGAGTTGTTTTTATACATGGTCTGGTGATTCCTTCTGTGGCATCATCACAGGAAGAATAGAGAGGAGGGCACAAACCACATGGTTGTTCCCAAACACATTTTTAGTGTTTTGGCTCAATAAGAGTCTAAGGAAACACAGTGTAAGAAGAATTGCTGGCAGGAAACAGTGTAGTGTATACAGAATGCCTGAAAGCCAGTCTGCAGTTTGGCCTAAGGTACCAGATAGGACTGACTGGGGGATTCTCTCAAACCCTATAGCTCTTGTCTGTGGCCTGTCTGTTAATTTGATCTCTGTTAGCTGAGGCAAAACCAAAGCTGAAAGTGCTCACGTGTGATTTGGCTACAATTTCAGAGAGTTTTCTTTTTTAAAATCTGTCTTCAGAAGCCAGCTATTCTTGGCCACACTGACTGGATGTGTAATGTTGAAGGTTGAAAGCACAGGGAGTTTCTCTGTGTAGTGCAGCCAGCCGGAGCCTATGTGTGCCATTTATGGAGTTGCAGTACCTGTAGGCACTGTAGACACCACCGGATGGATGCTGGGGAACCAATTACATTTCCTCCTCCACAGCCTGCACTCCCCTGGCAAGGGTTAGTGCTTAGTACTTGTCCTAGTCTGAAGGAATCTGGAGGTAGAGTCCATGGAGGGGTGTTGCTTATTGGCTTACTCCTCATGGCTTGCTCAGTCTGCTTTCTTATAGAACCCAGGGCCACAAGCCCAGGGCTGGTCCCACCCACAATGGACTAGACACGCCCCCATCAGTCACTAATTAAGAAAATGCCTACAGGTTTGTCTTCAGCTGATCTTATGGAGGCATTTCCTCAGTTAAACCTCTCCTCTCTGATTAATCTAGCTGTGTCAAGTTAACATAAAACTACCCAGCACAACTGACCCCTTGTCAGGTTGACACACAGACACATCACTGTTAAGACACAACCTTTCCTTTCTTGTTTGTCCCCAAGATCACATGTTAATAAAGATAGCACAATATAAAATGTTTTACAAACTTTATTTTAAAAGTCCCACAGCCTTAACAATTCAAACACTTCAAAAGTTATCTCTTGGAAAATATCTAGTCTCTTTTAAAATCTAAAGTCTATAAAAGTCTAAAATCTCTCACTTTTTTTTAAGCTTAAAGTCTCTACTGTGGGCTCCTATAAAACAAACAAATAAATGAAATATACTTTTTTAAGAGGGAAGAACCAAAGCACAGTCACAGTCTGAACAAAGCACTTAGTTTGTCCTCTCCTATCAGTGTTTACAGTCCCCTCAGCTTCTCTGGCAAGTTTTCTTGCTTTTTTTATTGTACTTTTCCAGTAGGGGGCTTTCCTTCCTTCCCTCTCTTCCTCCCTCTCTCCTTCCTCTCTCTTCCGTCAACAGTGTCTTGCTTTTCTGTTGCTGTGAAGAGACACCATGACCAAAGCAACTTATAAAAGAAAGCATTTAATTGATAGTTTGCTTACAGTTTGAGGGTGAGCTCGTAACCGTCCTGGTGAGAAATATGGCAGCAGGCCAGAGAAGTAAGGGAGGGAGGGAAGGAGAGAGAGAGAGGGAGAGAGAGAGGGAGAGAGAGAGAGGGAGAGAGAGAATTTGTGTTCACTAGAAGGCATGGGCTTTTGAAACCTCAAAGCCTACACCAGTGACACATGTCCTCTAACATGGCCACACCTTCTAATCATTCCCAAACAATGCCACTAACTAGGAACCAAACATTCAAATAGATGAGTCTGTGGAGACCATTCTCATTCAAACCACCACAGTTTAGTTGAAGTTGATCATTGTACTTACATCCTCTGACCAGAGGTTGAACTCTGAATCTGACTATAGAAAATTTGTGACTTCTTCCAAGTAGCAATCTCCTTGATGTTTGAATCTTAGAATTTTTACAGCAGGAGAGAGTTAAATCTCTTTCCCATCCAATCATATCATGGATGAGAAAGCAGAGGCAGGGACTTTTGGGTGTTTTGTTAGCTCAAGGCCATTAATCATTCCTGGGATAATTTAGCCTACAACTTGTCTCCAGATTTCTTCTCATATGGTACCTAGTCTGTAATAGCAGTTTTAAGTTTTCCACAAATTAAATAGCTTCATATCTGTTACTAAGGGTTGGGAATTCAATAGAAACTTTGCTAATGAGAAGCATGATCCTCTAGGAAGGTCACTCTCCTGTCTTCGTAGTCTTTACTTTTTGTCTTTAGTTTAATCCATGAAAGACTCAGTATCCTTGAAGCTGGCCAAAGCTATCTTTAAAAGCTTTGATGTCTTGACTTCCTCCAGATGAGTTTGGAAGGGAGAAAACTTTACCCAAGAGGAATTCACCAGTTGATTTACTTAATTTATACGCATGTATTTTCTAAATAGAACTTTGTTTTTGAAAGTAATTGAAAGCTTTCGTGGGTTTCTGTCCCTTTTGAGTGTAGTATAATGATTATAACAGTATTAGGTTAGATTTAGAAACTGGAATATCTGTCAGTTCTGTAGATTCTATTAGACAGTTTGGGGTGGGGGCATATCAGAGTTGCACTGAATGCTAAGAGAAGGTGTTGATTTTTTTCATGCATTATCCTGATGCTATACATAAAACACACACACACACACACACACACACACACACACACACACCATTGCAGAAGGTAGAGAGGATGCATTTCTGGCTGTAGAGGGGATAAAAACAAGTCATTTTTACAGGCAAACAAGTCATGTGTACCCTCAAATCCATGATGATACTGAAAAACAGTTTTGTAGTTTTCTTTAAAGCTGATGTCAGGGTTCCTCCCCTTAGACAACATTCTTCTTTAGTGATGTATATTTTAAGCCAGATACTTTTTTGGTGTGAGAATCTGTTCTATTCATATTAACCCAAATCACTCCTGATTCAGAACCACTTAAGGTATAAGATATAAGAAAACTTGTAATAAGAAATTAGTTGCAGGCCGGCAGTGGTGGGGCACGCCTTTAATCCCAGAACATGGGAGGCAGAGGCAGAGGCAGGTGGATCTCTGTGAGTTTGAGGCCAGCCTAGTCCACAGAGTGAGTTCCAGGATAGCCAGGACTACACAGAGAAACCTTGTCTCAAAAAACAAAGAAGAAGAAGAAAAAAGAAATCAGTTGCATTTTAACATTGGGAGAAAAAAAGGTATAAATGGAGGTGAGTGGATGTGCCTTCTCCCCTCTCATCCGCCCCTCTATGGGATGATGTAATGCCACACAGTGAGTGGGTTGTCACTGAATACACCTTGTAGCCAACTGGCAACAAAGTGAAAGAGGATCTACGCCCAGAGTAGAGCCCGGCAGAATGTTCTTATTTGATTCTTTCCCTCCAGGTTTGACTTTATCCTTGATAATGTTGGTGGATCTACTGAAACATGGGCTCTAAATTTTCTCAAGAAATGGTCAGGAGCCACCTATGTGACTCTGGTGACTCCTTTCCTCCTGAACATGGACCAACTGGGCATTGCTGATGGCATGTTGCAGACAGGAGTCACCATGGGAACCAAAACATTGAAGGTAGGGAGGCAAATCTTGATTGGTGAGAGTGAGCAGGTGCCTCGTACTACTGGGATTTGGTTTGCCACCTGGCCACTTTCTCTTCTCTTGGAGCCAGCTTACCAATAGTGGCTGCCAGCAACGGTCTCTAGACTCACATGCTGTCATCACTTCTCCTGATTCATCTGATAGACCTTCTGTTTCCTTCCTGCCCATACCTGATGGTTTTCTTCCTTACCCGTCTTAAAACACAGAGACTTGTACATAAGGTAGAGACTTCACTAAGGTGTTTCCTGTTGCTGTGCTCATGCAACATTAGATATCCAGTGGTTCCCAGGCTGAGGCTTTCTCACCTTTAGAGGTCTATGGTGTTCAGAACCCTTAAGGAAATTATACTTTTACTTAAAGGCTATGAATATGGATGCAACTGTCATGCTTTTGCTGGGACTATGACTCTGCCCCAGCATTTCATATTCCCGGTGAGCTGTAAAGACCAGCTACTAATTGACATGATGGAAGTTTTGGAGACTTCAGATTAGTCAGGTTGGCTGGCTTGACAGGCCACTGCTTCTGAGACTGCAATGTCTAATGCCCAAGTTGAATGCCACCGGGGAGTGGTGGGCCTTGGAATTAGTGCATATAGCCTCAGTTACAGGACTGAGGTAGGGCTTAAAGTGTGTGCTCTCTGTTTAATGCCATCACCTCTTGTCACCACAGTGGGGACTGAGGTTGATATAATTTCAGGCTATAAGTTAGGGTAATTCTAGTGAATTGAATTAGAGGTTAAATGGTATACATTGTAGAAGAAAATAAAGGTAAATATTCTTCTCTTAACTATAGACTAAGCACTTCAGATTCAAGGAAAAGGCAGTAGAAAGGCCCTCAAGGTAACAGCTTGTTCCTTGGGTGGACCTAGCCAGCTGTCATCAGACTATCTTTAGCTTTCCTTTCCCTCCCTTCTCCTTCCTTCCATCATTTTGCTTCTTTCCTTTTGTTATGCATGATTTTTAATGAAGAGCTTCGGGATTGAATTTAGCTTCACATGTGTTGAGCAAGAAGTGCCACCGAGTCACATCCTGACCCTTGAGATATTTTTTTGTTTGTTTTATTTTTAGATGGGATTTCATATGTAGGCCAGGTTTACCTGACCTTCCTGCCTCTACCTCCCGCCTTGAACTGCTGTTTTTAAAAGAAAACTCATTATTTTTATCTCCCTTGTATGTGTCCATTGCCTGCATGTGTGGATGTGCACATTGCAGGCCAGAAGAGTGTGCTGGGTTCCTTGGAACTGGAGTTGAGGACAGTTGTGAGCTGCCATGTAGGTGCAGGGAGCCAGACCCAGCTCCTCTGCAAGAACAGCAAGTACTCTTAAGCACTGAACCAGCTCCAGCCCCCTTTGGGCGCTTCTTGGGACTGGAAATGAACTTGGGCACCATCAGGAGATTAAGGCTTTGTTTCTTAAAACCAAGGACTCGCCTTGTTAAAGGTGAAGAGCTGTGGGGAAGCACAGCACAGTTAATTAACCTCATGAGTGTGTGTGCTGTGCAGAGGTGAGCCAAGTGTGCTCTGCTTAAGGAAAACATGGGGTTGTAGTTGGCAGAGGAAGGAATCGAACTTGTTTGTCTGCTGTTAGGGATCAAGTGGTTCGCTTCACAGAGGAATGTGTTTTGAGGGACTTCAGATGTGGTAGTTGTGACCATTTTAGTTCCCCTTTTACTACCCCAGTTACCAGAATGTTTCACTGTGGTCCTGGAAGCCACAACAGACCTTCGGAGAATCAACTGAACAGGTCTTCTGTGCTTGTCATTTACTGGGTGGGCCCTGGGGACATCTCAGTCCATCAGTGTCTAGCCACATAAACTGTACAGAACCTTTTACTGTTAGAATTTTCATGACCTATACATCATTTGTATGACTCCATATGTGGTCAGGACCCACAATTTCAGAAACTTTGCTCTAGAACAGCTATGATCAGATAGACTCCCAGCTTTGCAGGTCATGTGGCAGAGCCTGAGTTTGCCTCAATGAACATTCTGCTCTCTCTTTGAACTTGTGTGTAGGAGCAGGCAGGACAGCAGCATGGTACTAAGTGTCCTTATCCATCTCTGAGGGCTTGGGCCAGGTTGAGATGTCTTGGATCTTGGCTTACCACTCTTTTGATGATATCTGACTCACCTCCTGCATGAAGGCACCACTGTTGAGTGCAGCCTGGGCTACATGATGATGAGATCCTGCTCAGAAGCAAAAGAGAGTAACAGTTATAAGTGGTGTTCTACAGTTATAGAAGTCTAGTGGAACCCTTTCAGTGTAAGATTTTTGTTTATCTCCAAGTACAGAGGTTTTGTTCTACAAAGATCAGATGGCCTGAGATTCATGGTAACTACAAGGGTAGACCCAGCCACAATATAAGAGCAACTTCATATCCTTTCTTTAAAGCTGCTTTATTCCGTCAGAGTCAGAAACAAAAAGTTACGATTGAGTCTTATCTAAGAGCATGTTTTAGTGACTCTTTTTCTAAAACAGTTTTAACTGTAGTTTCAGTGTCTCCTGCAAACATTAGTGGGGAATGCCTGGAGGTCTAGGCCCTAATTCCTTGTAGGTGAGCAGTTCAGCACATGACACAGCCAGACTTCCTGTGCCAGTCATACATGGAGATGCCTGAGTTGACATGGATAAGTCTTATTTATCTGCTTATTCCTTAAACACTGTGGAGTATCTGCCCTCCACCAGTTACCATGCTAAGGTCCTGACCACACAATCATGTGTCAGTATAATATGGGAAATGTGTTTGTTTGTCCTGGTCATGCAGAAAATGCCTTTAGTTAGCTGCAGTTAGTTAGACTTCTTTTCTTTCTTTCTTTCTTTTTTTTCTTTTATTGTGATTTTATTTGTCTCCATAACAAGAGCAGCTTAGAACCGGATCACTTGGCCCTTTCTCTTCTTATCGCCTCCCAGTTCAAAATGCTTGCATCTCTTAATAGCCAGCATCCTCTTAGATCTGCAGTTGGGCTCAACACACTCAAGCCTCAGCACAATCTTCTTTGTAGTTTTAGCCATTTTTTTTGGAAAATAGGCTTAGTCTGCCCACCATAGCCACTCTGTTTCCTGTCATAACGCAGCTTTCCCTGGGCATACAAAGAATCCTTGCCCTTCTTGTACTATGTCACTTTATGGGACTGGTGCTTGCCACATTTCTTGCAGAACATCCGGTGGGTCTTAAGAACATTCACCATGTTGGCGGGAGCGATATTGGCACAGAAAGCCAGACTTTTTTTCTATATACTTACCATGATTATTTTCCTCCTTTTAGCATTTCTGGCAAGGAGTCCATTACCGCTGGGCTTTCTTCATGGCCAGTGGTCCATATCTAGATGAAATTTGCGAACTGGTGGATGAAGGAAAGGTAGGTCCACCCAGAAACCCTTTTTCTGGTAACTGTGTTATTGACATTCTTGTCAATAACAGACTATCCACCAGGCCTCATCGTGGGAACACTGAGGAGGGGCGGGGGAGGAGGGGTGTGTGAGGAGGGTGCTGTCCTTTGTTTCTGTTGCCATGCTATTTATGAAGAAACTGCTGTCTGCACAGTAACTTACCCTGTTTAGCCTACCTGTAAGCCCCTCAAGGCATGCCAGTGGCCCTACTCTGCCCCCCCCCAGACTAGTCTAACATTTCCAGCCTCTGGAGATGCAGGTGGCCAAGCTCTGCCCTAGCAGAAAAAAAAAGCCCAACATCTAGACACAGAATCCCACTAGTCCCTGAGCTTGCCCAAAGATCATTCTACAGAATCCCACCAATCCCAGGCCACCCTGGAAAGCTGCCCCTCAAGAAACCCTATAAAGCCAGCCTCCTGCTCAGTTCTCTGCTGCTTCTCTCCTGAGCAGAGGCAGCTACCCTCTTGTGACTCTCCCATTAAGTTTCTTGGGTGAGGTTTGTTGTGCAGTGTGACTTTGTGGCACTCCTTGACTCCCTACTGCCAGGACACCTTTCCCTTCAGAGATGTAACACTTACACTACCCTCTTGGTTTATACATCAAGGGACAACCAGGGAGGGGTATTATATGATATTCCTAAAGGTACATGGTTATCGAGTAGCAGAACTGGGAGCTGAGCTGGGTGACTGGTATTTGGTAATGATCTTTGAAAGATGGAACCCTATGCACAAAGGGGAGAAGGTGCTTGTCAACTTCTCACTAAAACTCGTGGAGCTTCCTCAGTCTGATGGTCCAGGGGGCAAGCCACTTTCCAGATAATAGGGTCTCAATGCCCTACCACCTGGGTGAGAATTGATTCCTCAGGCCTCCGTTCCAAGGTTAGTGTGTACCAGAGCACAGATACTCTAGAAGAGTGCACGTGTGGGTGAGAGTTGTTGGGGGCTTGAGCAGAGATAGGCAGTTGCTGTTCCCTGACTGCTGGTGGCTGGCCTGGGGGTGGGTGGTGAAAGGCTCCCCAGATTTTTAAAAATTCAGTGGCTTTTTAAAAATCCTCTCCTACAATATATTCCAACTGCAATTTCCCCTCCCCCCCCAAAACCCACCTCCCCTCTACCCCTGAGCCTCAGTGGCTGTTTTTTAAACATTTAAGGTTTGTTTGTTTGTTTGTCCAGTTCTCTGTAGCCAAGGAACTATGTGGTCTGTGATAGCTTGGATTAGTAGGAACTCTGTTTGGTTTCAGGTTTGTGAACCTTTTCATGGACTTTTCAGTCTTGTTGTATGCTGAGTAGAAGCAGGCTTACATTTTATATTTATATATTATTTATTATTCCCCCACATCCCACATGTATGCTTTCTTTATTGCCACAAAGAACAGAACTATCACCAAATAAGTGAGGGTTTCATGAGGCTGGAGCCCCGTGATCACAGTGTCTGTCCTCCAGAGTGCACATATGATGGTGTTTGTCCTGATGTCTGCCCAGACTGCCAAATGCTTGTCACACTCCCTTGTATTCAAAATATTATGACTTGGTCTCTACTTGGAAATTGCTATTTACCCAACAGAGATGAGAGGCAATTTGTATATATGCACCAATTAAATCTGGCAGATAACCAGTACAAGAGCTCAGAAGGGACATGGGAGACAGAGGAGATGCCTTTGTAGGGAGCATGAAGGAGGACCAGTGAAGACTGTCTCTGTTTACTTCTCAGGCTGTTGGACTTGGGAGTTGTTTTTGACAGTGAAGAGGTCTGGGTCTGCATAAGCTGATAGTTGACTCTGGGTACAGAGAGGCCAGGTGTCTGTCTTGTCATGTCCCTGCCATGATCTGAATGTGAGAGGTCACTGTCTGCATACTGGGAAACTGTGAGAAATAACAACAGACATTGCACATTGTGCCATTAGATGGGACTTGTTCAGTTCATTCCAGTTCTTCAAAGCTCTAAGAAGCTACAGTTGCTGTTTGGTGGTGTAAAGGCACAAAACAACTTAGCCAGCTGCTCTAGGTTGGATAAGTAGATTAATAGGAGTCAAAATCTGAAAGTTGAGGTTATTTCAAATAATCACTTTTGACTCCATCCCTCAGTCACTGAAGTTCTACTTGTTAGACAAAACCAATATTATTAGTTTCTTGAAAACTCCAAAGACATTCTATTCAAACAGGAGAAGACAAAGGAGTAATGAATAACTTCTCACCTTCCTTTTTGTTTTTAAACACCCTTCTTAAATTTATTTCCTATTAGGATACTAAAATGTGCTTCCTTCCTTATTTTGTAAATAGCTGCTAATATTCCATTGCCCAGGTGTGCCAATATTTATTTGATCTTTTTACCAGTAAAGCTTCAGTTGATAATCCAGCTTTGTTTTAAGTATGAACTGTGAGTATATCCATTTCAGTTCATGAAGCCCAGAGTTTTTGATCCATAGGAAGACATGGAGCTTCTGAAAACTTTGTCTATGTATAGTGTTTCTCCGTGGTTACCTTCTAAGCCCCTGTCTTTTGACTGCCTGACATCTTGCCCTCTTGCGTGCTTCACACCAGGGCTGACTTCCTCTAAAAACATGAAGAAAACCTGGTGCTGGTCACTTGTAAGCTGGTCACTTGTAACTTGAACTTTCTTGATTAAAAATAGTGTGTGGGGCTGAGGAGGTGGCTTATTGGGTGAAGTGCTTGATACAAGGCAGCAGCAGCAGCCATGTAAAAAGGCAGGCATAGTGAATGGCCCATGCCTATGGCCTCAGCATGGGGAGGCCCCCAGGGGCTCGCTGGCCAATCAGTGAACTCTTGTCAGTTAGAGACTGTGTCTTAAAATAAGATGGAGCAATAGAGGAAGACACGTAATGTCAACCTCTGGCCTCCATGTGAACACACTTGGTGCATGCCCACATAGAGCAGACCCTGCACACACAAGCATCTGACTTCAGTGTTATTAACAGAGTCCTGCTAGCCCTATGTGCTGCAGTAAGCAAGGAGAAGCTGCAGATCCACAGTGCCACAATGTAAGGACTTGGTCCTATCAGCACTGTTCTCACACTGTCATTTTGCCTTCTGGCAGGGTGGCATTCTGTAAACATTTCTGGCATTAGAGTCCTCTGCCTTTAATATGTCCACCATTCTCAGGCCCCAGATGAAAAGGAGCAGACATTTACAAGTATGTGGGGACCTCACAGTCCTTTCCCCTTGACTGTCACCATGAGGTTTTCTGCTAATAGTAGAATTTCATATTCATATTTACTGTAGCTATGTACAATTTGGATCTGAATTTTAAGACTGATAAAATATTTTCATTGTCTTAGCCAGGGACTGGCACAATATATAGTCAGTAAGCTAAATCCAATCTTAGGCCTATTTTTGTATGCCCATAGAGCTAAGAATGACTTTTGTATTTTAGAAGCATTTTAAAATGTTATTTATTTGTGTGTGTGTGTGTGTGTGTGTGTGTGTGTGTAGTATATGTGTTCATATGTGGGCAGGTATAAATGCTCCTGTGTATGTATATGTGCATGTGGTAGCCAGAGATCAAAATTGGGGGTCTTCCTCTCCACCTTATTTTTTGAGACAGGGTCTTTCACTGAATCTTGAGCTATACTTGCTGGCCAGAGGGCTCCAGCTACCTGTCTGCCTCCACATGCCTTCCCCCGAGAGCTGGGTTACAGATGCATGTTATCATGTCCAGCTTTTTACATGGGTGACTGGGCTCTGAGGTCAGGTCCTTGTGCCTGTGCCTACTTTTACCTACTGAGCCATCTCCCCAGCCCAGGTTTTACATTTGTAATGAATTTTTAGGTGTTTATTTTATTTTATTTTTGTGAATCTGGGTTTTTGCCTGAATGTATGTCTATGTACCATTTGTGTGCCTAGCGCCTAGTGCCTGTGCAGGCCAGAAGAGGGCATCAAGTCCCCTGGAATTAGAGATACAGACAGTTGGTATTGGGAATTGAACCTGGATCCTCTGGAAGAGCAGCCAGTGCTCCTCTAACAGCTGAGCCATCTCTCCAGCTGCCAAAACAACACAACACAAGACAAAAACTCTGTAGATCATGTGTGGCTCACAACATTGTTCCCTATTTAGTCCATTACTGAAGTTTGCTAAGCAGTGATAATGGTAATTCATTCCTCCCTCAGTTCCAGGAAGGACAATTGCCATGAGTTCAAAACCAGCTTGGGCTATAATATGAGACCCTGTCTTTAGAACAAACAGAGGAGTTGTAGTTTCCTAACCATAAAGGAGTAGAAAAATAAGAGAGAAAAGTTTCCTGATCCTTTTCCTAGGTACACAGTTAACCATAGAAACTGGTCATATATAGAAAAGGCAGAGGGGAACCCTGTGCTGGTGGCAGGATGGCAGGGAGTAGCCTTCCCTGCTAGTGTTTCCTCTTCCTGGAGCTGCTCCCCAGGTCAAGGAGCCCAGGCTTTCAACATCAGTGTGAAAACCACTGTTTGATGGATCAAAGGATCATGGTTGCTAGAGCACTGAGTGTAATGGCTCTCTGCCTGGGCCTGTAGTTCTCACATTCTCCTAAGCACAATGGGCATTTCCTGTTTTTACACTATTTAGCAAACCATTCTGGGTTGGGAATGAAAAAGCTATAGCAAAAAGTAAGATGTGTTTATACCATTGGTTAACACAGGTTAGAAAGAGAAACCTTGGTACCTCTCTACTATCCTCAGTAGGCAGCTGCTGGTAAAAATGACTCTGTATTGGGCGGGATATATTTGTTTACATTTGCTTATGTATGCACATTAGCTTCTGGTTGAAACAAACTACCACAAACACCATGGCATAAAGTAACACACTGATTATTTTATAATCTTGGAAGTCAGTAGCTGAAATGGTCTGGCAGATCTGTGTGTCCCTCCTGGAGGTCAGAATTTGCTTGCTTGCCTTCTCCAGTGTTAAGCGGCCATGGGCATTCTGAGACCTACCTTATTCTAAGGATTCTATGATTTTACTTCGTTTACCCAAGGTG